GCCAGTTGTTTGATAGTGTTGTCTACACAAGGTGTAGGCGCCTTGACCCTGAATGTTTGTTTAGGTCATTAAACTTTTCAGGTAAGTCCTCCTTCTCTCCCCCTTATTATTCTTTATTTCATAGGTAATCATGATTGTATGGCAGCGAAGCATCAGTTCAAATGGCTGATGTACTGCTGTTGTTGTTGTTTTTATGGAACTCATTCGTATGCGGACTCAGATAAAGCTCGTGTGCTTGGTGAGCAGTATGTAGGGGCTTTTGTACCTTAGGCCGCGTTGGCTAGCATTATACTTGTCCCCAGAGTATCTGAGCGTTCTTATTTAGCTGAATTTAATGTGGTGGAAACGCGTCCCTAGGCTGCTTCAAGAACTGAACCTTTCTAAAGCAGCTGGATATGATTCAAGTCACCCGGAGCTTCTGCATGAGTTGGCGGTTGAACTAAGTGGACCGCTGGCGATGATGTTTCAGAAGACATTTGATAGCTGCTCATTACCTTCCGCACGGAAGCAGGCTGTCATCTGTCCCATCTTCAAAAATGACAGCAGGAGTCTGTCAGCCAATTATAAGCCAGCTAGTCTGACTAGCGTCGTGGTCAAACTGATTGAAAAGTTGGTGTGATTCGTTGAAAGACCACCGGAATAGATTTAATCTACTCAGTAGTGCACAACACGAATTCCGGAAGGGGCTTTCGTGTCTGGTGAATTTGTTCGTTGCTTGTGAAGCTTGGTTCGGGGCAGTGAACAATGGCCTCGTAATGGATGTGCTTTTCGTCGACTTCTCGAAAGCATTTGATAAGATACTCCACTTGAGGCTATCACAAAAGCTGAGCTCCTATTGCGTATCTGACCACCTCTTTCACTGGGTATCTGCATTCTTGCAGGGAAGAGGGCACTGTGTACGTGGGGATCACAGCTTATTCTTTAGGCAAACGGTCCTTAGCGGTGTCCCACAGGGCTCGGTCCTTGGACCTATGCTGTTCTCCATCTACCTAAACCATCTCCCAGAGGAGCTTAGAGTATCATCCCTATTGTTTACTGATGACCTTAAACTATGGTATGTTGTAAATGTTCATGGGAGTTCTGAGGTCATACAGCATGCTCTGGACAGACTCTGAGACTGGTCTACTTTGTGGCTACTGCCCATTAATCAGGCTAAGTTTTCCGCCCTTCGTATAGAAGCAACTTTCCCACCTTCGAGTTACGTGCCCGGTGGGGTCGAACTTCCCTTTGTCTCCAACCAGGCAGACCAAAGCGTCGTCCATTCCTCGTCTTTGCATCATGGTGACAACTGGGAGAATGCCTCAAGTAGAGCTTTCAGAATGTTGTGGTTGATACACCGTTCTTTCGGGGTTTTATCTGCCGACATATCTGTGAAGCTGTTCTCAGCTTTCGTTCGGCCCCACCTGGAATACTGCATCCAGACTTGCCCGCCCTGCCTTGTTCGGGACAAAGTGGAACTCGAGAGGGTTCTGATAATAGGTACCAAATTGGTCAGGGGGTTACGGGGGCAATCGTACCCCGAGCGTCTACTTAGCTTTGGTATGTATTCAATGCACTCTCAATGGCTTCTAGGAGACCTTATCCTTACCGCATTTTAACAGAAAAGGTTGGACCGGACTTGAGCTGGCTATTTAGCCCGGCTAGGTTGCCTTGTCTTCGCAGTCATCCCATGAAGCTACACAAGCCGCGTTCCGACCGGATCAGGACGGAAACTCGGTTATTGCGTAGAGTTATCGAGCGCTGGAACTCGCTTCCAGAACGTGCAGTCAGTGAACCTACGGTTAAAGGTTTCGAGCATCAATTCAACGCTCCTGGGTGGCAACACGAAACTCCCTTCTCTTGACCATATTCATCTTCCAGGTTTGAGTTCATATTCTGTCATTCTCCTCACTCTTTAGTGTTATTCTTTATTTAAATGACTTTCCTTTCTCTTTATCTTCCATTTTCTTTCTATCTCTTCCTTACTTCACGTGACCTACACAGCGGGGATTCCTACTGCAGGGAACGTGGGCAGTAATTGGTTGACCAGGGTGTGGTTCTGGTGTTTCATTTTAGATCCATCAAGACCTCGTAGCACCTTGTCATTTCCTGGTTCAACGATCCGCTCAAGAAAGAACACTCAAGGGATTTGGCTATCGTTCCAGTCCCTTCTGAATCTGAATCTGACCAGGGCTGGGTGCTGTAGTGCAGTAGGTCCGGGCGTGACCTTGCGGTGTTCCCTAAGGTAAGGAGATAGTTGTACCTCGCGTAGACGGCTATCGATACTTCCTCTTCTCTTCACCTTTACTTTTGGTTTAGTGGTCTCTTACTAGGTGGTTGTGCTCTGAGCATCCAGCCACCTACGAGCTATTTACTTTCCATTGCGGCTCTCCAGGTTCGTTACTACCTCCGTACGCACTGGACATGGAAGTCATCGGAATCCTCGACCGGACGCATACTACATATTTGGCGACCCTGCCAGTTCCTGACAGCGGTCCCTGAAGCTGGATCGTTACTCTTGAGGCGTTCATTAACTTTTCTGTGACCACTGCTTGTCATGGAATCTCGAACCTAGTACACCGTGCTCATTGGTTCTTTGGTTTATAGAGAGCAGAATGCGAATCCTTTGTCGGCCCCATCACTTCCCGCTTACTGTAGGGACCATGTGAATTGATGCGGCACAATGTTCCACAAGGGAGCATTGCGGCCACAGTTAACACAGCATGATCCATGCTTGTCCAGCAAATATATATCTAGCAATCGTTTAAAACATTACACTGTGCACTGACGACTTGCTCAGCTTAAGTGTTTCAGTCATGCACCACACGAGTTGACAAAGTGATATCAGAGCGAACCCGTAGCCTCCTTGGTTTACACACCTTCATACCGTGGTTTCGTGTCACACTCTCAGCACAAAGACGAAAGAATCCTTGTACCTCATCCCCTATCTCACTTCGGAGAATACGTTGCGTGTAAATCTAGCCACCACGGCGACGACGATAATCCGGGGAGAACAAGTTTATTCTTTGATTGCGATGACAGTAAGATAGATTCCAGAGTGTCGCGACGGATTTTGATCCGCGTCTCTGAACCTTCTCTATCAATATTAATTCGGTTTTCGTGAGAGAATAGGATACTGGCAAACAGTACTCAAGAATTGGTCGAACATGAGAGCTGAACAAAGGTCGGATTATCTCCGGAGTCTTCTGGGTAAGGGATCTCCTTATAGAAAAGAACCTCTTAGCTGCGACAACTTTCTTTAGGCCATCTTGAGTCGTGCGTAGGTTTGGCGAGACAAGAACTCCTAAATTTCCTTCCTGAACAGGAAGTCCTCAATATGATAAATACCAAATGGCTCCGAGACACCAATTGGGAGGACAGGACACTTAGCATGGTTAATGTATGCACGCCACTCCATTGACCAGCGTTGTCTGTAGCTGGTCAGCATCATCAAGCTTGGACATCTCTAGCCACAGTTACAGGTCATCAGCATAAATGAAGCAATCAGTTTGGAGCTCAGAGGGAAGATCATTGCTGTAGATTTTAAAGAGCTTAGAACCATGGACAGATCCCTGTGGGACCCCGCTGATCAGGATTGGAATAGGTATCGTTCACTTTAACTTACCTGCTTCGGCCATTCAGAAAGTCAACTACCTATAAAGGCATTTTCCCAAGAACACCAATTCCCCGCAGTTCGAAAAGGAGACGTTCATAAGGAGCTTTGTCAAATGCCCTGCTGATGTCGACAAAAATGACCTCCAGACGATTACCGGCGTCCAGCGATCTCGCCCATTTTTCTCTGACAACAAGCAAGTTAGAGACACAGGAACGCGCCTTCCGAAAACCATGTTTGACGCATGAGAAGATATGCAGGTTCTCCAGGGGAAGATTTGGCGCTCTCTTAAGAATTCTTGCCATGATTTTACAAATTACAGATGTCAGACAGATCGGCCGATAATTTCCAGAATCCTGACGCTCTCCTCCCTTGTGTGTGAGCCTCTACCCAGTTTCCAAGCGCCGAACAACTTAGCAAACAAGAGAAGCGATGTGCTGAGCCACCGTCTTGAGGAAAAAGGTTGCAGATCATCCGGACCCGGTGAGAAGTTCGGATTTAATTCTAGTAGTCGCATAGCCGAAGACATAAATTACATAAATTACATGAGGTTTAACTCGCAATCACTTTTTCAGCCTATTCGATTCGTTTTCTTGCTGAATGAAGCCTGTTCATTCGAGCTATACTCATTCTCACTCCATGTGTTTGTTATCCGCCGATTCATATAACAATTTGTTCAGGAAGAAAACGAATCCAATAGGCATGCACTACTATACACGGCAGAGAACCGTATAGATTATGCTTTTGTACAGGCCTGATCCCAAGAAATGGCCTATCACCGGTCACAGTCATACCATCGGAAAACCCCTATGGTTCATCTACCACACGCCAGTCAGAATCATTGCAAACAACCTGTGACACCCTCCGTCACCGTTACTGTGTCGCACAACAACTGCTTTTTCTGTGGGTTTAAGAGACATAGTCGGTCTCAGTGCCCTACTCGTGATGCTGTTTGTAACGGTTGCGGGAAAACAGGACACTACCAGAAGTTCTGCCGTTCTACTGCTAAAAGCACTTATTCAATTGTTCCAAGTTATATCTTTCTTGCCACAGCCGCATCCTCACCAAACAGTCTCTCACGCTATCATCGATGTATCCATCAACGACATTCGTCTGAAAGCGCTAGTTGATACGGGGAGCTCTGAAAGTTACATGGCTATCTCAGTTGTTAAACAATTCAACTGGAAAGTTTTCGGATCACATCGCAAAATTTCGATGGCCAGTACCCATCTAACTAGTTTCACGAGTGGTCATTGTGTTGCTACTGTGCAGTTTAAAAACCGACATTACACCGACATTAAACTCTCTGTTCTCGCCAATCTATGTTCTGGTGTACTTCTGGGACACGATTTTCTCAAACTCCACTAATGTTCTAAAATTCCATTTTTCAATGAACGACCCCTTCTCTGTGTACTCTAGTGCCCACCGATGTGACCCCTCTATCCTTGTTTTAGACCCATCACTACGAAATCGAGACGTCACTCAACCACAGACGAGTTCATACCACTGGAAATGGGAAACTTCTTAAGGACGGAATTATTGAACCATCTACATTGCCACGACGAGCTCATGTTTCGATAACTACGAACGACAGCCATAAACGCCGCATGGTTATAGATTATAGCCAGATTATCAACCAACATACTCACCTGGACGCATAACCATTGCACAGAATCGATGCTCTTATCGACCAAATTTCACGCTACTCGGTGTGTAACACCTTGGACCTAAAAAGCGCATATCACCAAATACCTCTCAAGGAAACGGAAAGAAAATTCACCGCATTTGTGGCATGTTGTAACCTGTCGCAATTCTGCTGCATATCTCTGGGCGTAACCTACGGCGTAGCCTGTTCCCAAAGAATTATAGATAAAGTAAAACTGACGAAAAACTGAAATGGGCTTTTGCTTATATGGATAACATAACAATGTGCATAACTACTGAGCATGAACACAATTGTAATCTAGCGACATTTTGCGAAATCGCTTGGAAGTACAACGAAAACAAAGCATTATTCGCTCGAATAGGACGCGACTGCTGGATTACGAAGTTTCCCATAAGCTTGTACAGTCGGACCCAGATCAGCTTCAACCATTGCGATCCCTCCCTGTGCCCACTGACGTTACGTCGCAGCAACGTGTTGTGGGACTTTTTGCCTATTACTCCTCTTGGATCTATCACTTCGCCAAAATCCGTCCACTGGTCGACAACCGATCTTCCCTCTCCCTTGTTCGGTTCTGGAGTCTTTCGAAACCCTCAAGAATGAGAATCTTCTGCCCTCCTTTCTGTTGACGAATCAATACCTTTTGTTATAAAAACGGACGCCACTGACATTGTCATTGCGGCCATGCTAACAAAACGGATTACCAGTCGCTTTTTTCTCGCGAACGCTCTCACCCAGCGAACAACACCGTTCTGCTGTCGAAAAGGAGGCACGTGTCATCGGGGAGTCGGTCCGAAAATGGCGCCACTATCTCATCGATGATCGCTTCACGATTATTACATATCAGCAGTCCGTCTCGTTCATGTTCAACCTCAACCAGCAAGGTAAGTTCAAAAATGACAAAATTCAGCGTTGGCGTATTGGACTCTTCTGCTACCATTATGATTTGCTCTACAGGATCGGGAAAGCTAATGTGACTGCCGACGCCTTATTGCGTACTTGTTGCTCCTTCTGGTCACCTATCCTGATACTCAAAGAACTGCATGATACCTCGTGTCACCCAGGAGTTACTAGATTGTTTCATTTGATTCGTTCACGGAACCTACCTCTCTCTGTTGAGGAAGTAAAGTCGATTACATCTCGCTGCAGCGTATGTGCCGAACTTAAGTCCCGCTTTTACAAGCCATCTGGAACACGCATTAAGGTAACGCACCCCTTTGAAAGTTGCACGTAGGTTTTAAGGATCCTTTAGCGTCATCGACTAACAAGAAGTATCTGTCTACCGTTGTCTATGAATTTTCGTGACCCCATTTGCCTTTGCACTCAGCGACATGACAGCCTCTACAGTTGTTAATTGTATAACCCAGTTTTTCTGTCTTCGGTATGCCGCTTTACATTCACTGATCGCCGTTCACCCTTCATGTCCCAAGAAGTGTGACACCCCCCCAAAAGGCATTGCAGTCAGCCGAACGACGCCGTACAACCTCCCAAGATAACGGACAAGCGGAGCGAATTAATGCCGTCATCTGGAAATCGATCACCCTTGCATTCCGATCTAGGAGCCTCGCAATAACCTAATGGGAAAACGTTCTGTTAAACGCTTTACACTCAATCCATTCCCTGCTTTGCATCACCACAAGCGCTACTCCTCATAACAGTCTTTTCTCTTACAACCGTAAGTCGATATCTGAGATCTCACTACCGAGTTGGCTGAGTAATCCAGGGTCCGTCCTACTGCGCTCTAGTGTAAGATTCTCAAAATATCAGCCACTAGTAGGTGAGGTCGATCTATTGGACTACAGCCCTGTTACGCCCACATTCGCTTTCCTGACGGAAAGGAAGACACTGTGTCGCTGCACAACTTGGCACCGTCAGGACGGCGTCAATCCACTAACCTTTCCCGTCGCAACGAGACTGGACCTTAACGTGGTGCGACGGTTTGTGTACCTCCTTGATCCATTGAGCTATACTGGGTGATGCCTCTAGGCACCTTGAGAGCTACTCCTACCAGGTTGGTCAATAGTGAGAGGTCAGACAAACTTAGTCTCCTGTTCCTCCAGGTTGGGGGTTTGAAATGGGATGGCGTCCATTTCTGTAAAACTAAATCATTGCCGCCTCCCTGCTGCCTTGCGGAGAGGCTTTTGAACCAAAGGCTTTGGATGAGGACCCTAATCGTCCTCCTGTCTAGGTCTGGGCGCCCTGGCAGTATCAGCCCACATACAACCATGACATTTTCTTCAAACATTAACTGCATCGGCCGTCGCGCAGATGATAAAGGGTCACCTTATCTGCTGCATACGGCAGGGCGGATAAGCGAAAACATGCTACTGCTGGCGCCTCCCTTCGTTCTTTTCCACCTGTTTCTCTTACTCCCATCCCGACACCCATTACTAACCTTCCTTCTATAATTCCCAGCTTAATTGACAGCAACCGAAGTCCAACTAGAGTAGAACCATCTGCAGCCACCATCCCACAGCACCTATCGGCCAAAGTCCCTTATAAGGCCACGCTATCCCGTTTCCATAGCGACCTTCAACGTTCGCACTCTAAGCGAAACAGGTCAACAGGCTGCACTCGCACGCACCTTGGACACACTGGGTATTGATGTGTGTTGTGTGTCCGAAACTAGGATCAATGACCCTAACGGGGTTATTGAATTGACTGCACCCGGCTTATCCTCTCGTTATTGGTTACACGCATCCGGAGACGCCGATGCAGCACTCACGTGTCAAGCTGGTGTAGGTATCATTCTAAGCTCCAAGGCTGTGCCATCGTTGGTTGATTGGATTCCGGTGAACAGCCGTTTATGTGCAGCCCGTTTGACGACATCAGCTAAGGTGGAGTCACGAAGTAGTACAAAACGCTGTTTGCTTGTGATTTCTGCTTATGTTCCCACCGACTGCAATTCTGATGCTGTTAAGGACACATTCTATCACGAACTGAACGCCCTACTACGCAGTGCTACTAGTCCAGATATTATAGTACTTGAAGGGGATATGAACGCACAAGTAGGGTGCCTGAGCTCTTCAGAAGCCCAACTGAGTGGTAATTATGAGCTTAACTCCGAACGGACTGACAACGTTAAGCGTCGGCTGCAACTGTGCACAGAGCACCCATCGTTTCTTAGTAGCACTGCTTTTAGACACAGTGGGCGCCGAAGTGCCTTTTGCCGTCCTCCTGTAGCTGGCCTGCGATGGACCCAAATTGACCACAGCCATAAGTTACAGATGGCGTGGTTCCACCCTAGATTGCCGCACGTACTGGAGTACCTGTGTCGACTCTGATCATGTCTTGGTACGCTGTCGTTTCTCCATGAACTTTACCAGGAGGCGCACCAAGCGTCTCCTCTAATTGTCCACTGAGAAATTGTCTCAGCCATCGGTCAGGCAAGACTATCAAGAAGCACTGCGTACCGAACTTTCGCTGTCTTGTCCTAATGACACTGAGCTTCAGTCGAATAGGATCTCGGCCGCCATGCACAACGCAAGAGCATCTGCTTGTGGCACTATCCTTCGTCACCGCACTAGTCACTGGATATTCGAGAGGTCGATGAACCTGTTGGAATCTAGGAGAAATCTCCCGGCTGGCTCTTAGCACAGTGTGACCAGACGGGTTATTAGGCGCGAACTAAAGCAGAGCGTACGTGCTGACAAGGAACTCTGGTGGACCACTCGGGCAAAGTATCGGAGGAGACAGGAGCTGTAGGCAATTACCGCAAGCTCTTCCAGCTGATCCGCACCACTGGTCCCAGAAAATCAGGCGTCAGTGAAACAATTAAAGACAGTGCGGATGCACTGATACACAATAAGGAGCGCCGTAGTGCTCGTTGGGCGGAACATTTTCAAGATCAGTTCAGTTGGCTCTCTGCTCCCGGACTTCCTCCTACTCAGGTGATACAGTACGAGCCATGGACGGTTAGTTTAGAGCCTCTGTCGGAGGCCGAGGTCCGAAACGCGATCACAGCTCTTAATCGTTTTCGTGCCGTTGGCCCGGATTACCTACCACCTGCACTGTTTAAGGATGGAGTTAAGATCCTCTGCCAAGCACTGACCTCCCTATTCGAACGTATCTGGTAGGAAGAGTGTCTCGGCTGATTGAAGCGAATAGATTATAGTGGCAACATACAAGAAGGGCAATCGCACAGACTGTTCTAACCACAGTGGTATTAGCCTAACGTCAGTTGTGACAAAATTATTGGTCTCGATTATCCTTCATCGCATCACTGTGGAACGGGTATCTCGGATTAGGGAAGAGCAGGCCGGTTTCCTCCCAGGACGTGGCTGTATAGACCATATATTCACTTTGCGGCAGGTGCTAGAGCAGCGCCACGCATTCCACAGACTGACAATAGCTATGTTCCTTGGTTTCAAGATTACGTTCGATTCAGTCGATCGATCGATTCTGTTCGAAATACTTGCGCGGAAAGGTGTTCCCACGAAATATGTGAACATCCTTCGTGCTCTATACTCGAACATTACAGGCCGCGTCAGGGTCTACGGTGTCCTATCGGATAGCTTTCCGACAACAAGTGGCGTTCGTCAGGGTTGTCCGATTTCCTCATTCGTCGTGGCTTCTATCGTGAAGTGTTCCCATGTGGAATCTCGCAATATAGGTCTTGAGATGTTGCCTGTGGAAGGTTAGTTGACCTAGATTATGCGCATGATATCGTCTTGCTTTTCGACCATGTTGCGCTGGCACAGTCAACCCTGAATAGCCTGTCTAGAGTGGTCCCATTATTTGATATGCACTTCGCACCTTCGAAGTGCGAAGTGTTGCTACAGGACCACCAGCCACTTGATGACCCCTTGACGCTTGCTAACGAGGAACTCGAGGTGGTTCGTCAATTCTGGTGTCGGATGGCACCAGCGTGTCCGCAACGATGATGTGCGTAGGCGAGTACTAGGTGGTGATAATCATGCTAGCTCCCTAGAACAACAGATAGCACTGAATAAGTTGCGGGACAGTAATTGTCCATTCCTGGATCTGAGAGCATCATACAGCACACAATATTTCCTTTGAATCAGAGTTTCAGCCGGTGACTGCGGATTTGGCGTTGTGCGATAAGTCAGAAGGAATGTGTCAAAAATCTCCGCCAAGGTACCTTCTTTCGTTTTTAGCGAGGCTTTTTTGAGTGTATCCACAGAGCGTTCTGCTTGCCTGTTTGATTGTGAGTGGAAAAGTAAAGACCTTACATGGGCGATCTTGTTTCTGCTACAGAAGTCATCAAATTCAGAAAAGATTAACTTTATTATTGCCCGAACCCAAAGTATGGGGAACACGAAAACGTGACAATGGCTCCTGCGGTAGTTTTCACCATTGGAATCACTTAAGGTCATTTACTATAGACATCGACAACGATGAGAAAATGATGACCGTCAGTTGGACCCGCAAAGTCGACGTGTACCCTGGACCATGGTTCCGTTGGTATTGTCCAAGATTGCAATTCCGTCTTCTTTGCTGTTTAGAGATCCTGGCACATCGGGGACAATTGTTCGTCAAATACTCGATCTTGGAATCCGTATACGGCCAGTACGCATAGCTCCGTATCAGCGATTTCATGCGATTCATTCTTGGGTGACTAGTACGAAATTGTCGGAGCACTCTCTCTTGTAGGGTGACAGGAATGACGTTGCGATCTGAGAATAGCAGATAAGTGTTAACGACTGATAGTGCTTCCTTCTGTTGATGGAATTGTTGTAGCTCCAGGGTTGCAACCCTCTGTCCAGCCACTGAGGTGGAAATTGATCACTTGTTATAGAGTAGAATCATGCCGAGTCGCTTCCTGCATCATTTCGAACGTTGCTGGTAAGGCACCGAAAACGTCAGACACAACTTGATTTACTTGGGGTTCTACGGAGATTCGAGCAACTACCAAGTTCTCTGG